AGTATTCTGCCCTGGAAATCAAAAATGTTTGTGTCTAAGAAAATTAAAGGCTTCTGATATAGGACATATTTTTAAAACAGGATTGTGATAGGGCCAAGTCTGACATCTGGCTATCTGACACTAGAACAAATTCAAACTGAAGTAACTTCAAGCTTGCCGACACTGGGAAAGCAATATTTTTCAATCAAGATTGACTCAGTAAATTTCTTAAGATTCTGTTCTAAGTTAAACACAATTAATTCAGGCTCTGTAGGCAAAATCCTAGATGGTTAAAGACTGGTGGTAAAGTCAGTATTACAAATATATAATTGATAAATAATTAATCTGCTAATTTCAATTTACTAGCTGAAAGTAAAAAGTAGTAGAAGCAGTTAGCTGCAGCCTGCCCCTCCTTCAGATATTATTAACAAAAACAGTGTATAGGTATATAGGAGGAAAAAATTAAGTCCTGCATTATCTCCAGAGTTAATGGTCAAACAGATCTTATCATGGAAGGTGACAGCCTCACCAGTGTGAGTGACAGACTGTTGTTATTTACATACAGCTCATTTCTGCCTGGTGAAAAACCTGACATGGTGGTGAAGGTCTTCTACTGGCTCAGTTGCTAAGAGATAGGAGGATTTGCTTTGATGCAGATAATAAACAGCTGTTTACACAGTATGTTTGCACATGCTTTAATAGGATCACTAGGCTTATTTGGGTTTTTCCCTTACTGGTTGCACTGTGTTAACATCTGTCAAACAATAAATAGCATTACCTGAAATGTATTAATATTCATAAAGATGCTATTTTCATCATGGGAAGGACATGAAAGTAAATCTAATTTAAAAAATATTTTAATATCTTTTCTCTATGGAGGAAGTTTACCTATTCCTCACATGATTTCTTCCCCCATATGTGTTTATTACTGATTTTTTCCTTTAACTCAAAATCAGACTAAAGGTGAATAACTTGTAAACGGCTTCATGATTTCTTAAGCCTTGAGACCACAGGTTATGATTGTGCTGCACACAAGACACACAATTTCATTAATTAGTTAATGGAATTGACATATTTATGTCTTTTGAGTGACCTAAAGCAAGTCTTCAGACCAGCCAATCTGGTATGAAAGGTCTTAAATGAGAAAGAAAACACTGTATCTATAAGAAGTTGTTCCTGTGCTTAATCACACTTAAAATTCAAAAAATGTACATCTTAACTGTAGTATTAACTTAGCTTTGCTTTCAGACTCTGAACACATTTTAGTGCCTTGATCTGACAAGTTAGAGCACGTGGTATGTGGCAATAAATTTAGAGATACCCCATCTTTGTGCAGCTTTCTGGCATTACTTAGCAAGTTTTAGAATTATACTCTCCTCCAAAAATTTACTTGGAATTCTAGTGCAGCTATACATACCCTGTGAACAGTGGGTCACTGAATTTCTTTCTGGATGTCTTATCTTCACCATCACCATTTCAGCAGTATGTTTCTCCTGGATAGTGTGGCTATCAGCCTCTGGCCAATATTTATTTGTTGTATGTCAAGTAGAAATGTGCATTTGATTGCAATTGCTTTTACCCATTTGGAGCTTTACACGAGCAGTTTAACAATACTCCTGCTTCAATGACTTAAATATAAAAGCCTGATTCTGTAATTCTCTGCTTCTAATGGATTTTTAAAAAAAACCCACAAAAAAATGCAATTGTGTTCTCTTAAAAACAGCTATCAGTAGTGATTTAATATTGTACACAGTAAAAATGTAAAATTATCTTAGTGTTCTATAACATTAATAGCTTCCAGGGCTGACAGACCTAAAGTAACTAAAACAACAGCTCTTTGCAGTTTTCATATGAAAGCTTCAGCTTTTTATTCCCATAGCCTATTTACATTATTCTTTTTAGCAGAATATAATTGGTTTGCAGCATAGAAGTTTTTTTCCCATAAGCCTACTAAACTGTAATTCATGAATACTTACTACAGAGAAGTTGATGCTTTTAATTTTAATTCAAAAGAAAAGTTGATGTCAATAAGAAGGATTTTTTATAATTGAAAAGAATGCACATATTCTATAAATGAATGAAAAAAAAATTCTCAGTCTTTTCTCAGTCCCATAATTTAGTTTTCTGATAAAGATCACTGGAATTTTGAAAGGCCTATAAAAAGAATGCATATATTCTATAAATGAATGAAAAAAAATTCTCAGTCTTTTCCCAGTCCCATAATTTAGTTTTCTGATAAAGATCACTGGAATTTTGAAAGGACTATTGGAGATTATAATTAATACTGTTTTCCTGAGCACATCTCTTTACTGTATGCTTATTAGTCCTGAAATAAGCATTTCTGTTCTGTTTGCTCTTACTGAGTCCCAGACATCCAGACTGTGATCCTTACCAGCTGGTTATTTCCAGCTAATAGACTTGACATCTCAGAAGTTTCCAGAAGTTAAATGTATCTTTTATTCCAATACACTTATCACAAATATATGAAGTTGGGTTTTGGTTTTGTTTTTTAGGTTTTTTTTGGTTTTTTTTCAATATCCATGTTCAAGTGTGAAGAGTTCCATACATTGTGGTAGGTCATTTTACATATTACTATACAACATTTCATTAGCATGAGCATGGATTTATTATGCAGGAATAGAGATATTCTACACTTGAAAGTTAGTTTAAGTTAATCTTTGGAGTAGGGTAAGGTATCAATTGTAATTGTGATAACTATTTCTGTCCACATGCTGAACAGTGAGGTATGAGTGGGCTGGATATTTGACCACAGTATTTCCTTCAAAAGGTTTTATAATAACAGAATGATAGTATGTAAAGGTCTTATAAAAAATGGCTGCAACTTGAATCAGTATCAAGACTGTTATTGTCTGTTTTGATTTAAAAAAAACATGTTCTTGCTAAAAGGAAGTGACATGAATATCATGTTGCAAGATGGATGTGTTTGACAGTGCATTTAGCTAATGCCTGTGTCCTGTAACAAACACAGTGCACAGCTGGAATTATCTATATCTTATAGCTATTATTCTGAAATAAACCATAACTTAGCATGGAAATGATACACAAAGAAAAGCAAAGCAAGGACCTATAAGGATCTATTGATTTTCTTTTCTTTTCTTTAATTTTATTTTATTTTATTTTACTTTATTTTATTTTATAGCAAAAGAGGTAGCAAAGAGATGTGTTGCAGGACATGCTTAATATATCATGATACTGCAGCTTTACCCTACTTCTCATGGTGGGATTGAAGCTTGTGGACTTGAAAACCTCACATATCTAGGCTCAGTATAAAGGTCAGGCAATATGATAGGGACCTGCAGCAGACTTGCATCAAAAGTACTACTTTTAACAGTTTGATTGCCAGTGAGTTTTTCAGTTTCCTTTGTTAGCTGATCTCTGGAAGAATAGCTTAACATTTCACAGCTTTTGATTTTTACTTTCTCACTGCTGAGGATGTCTGGTAGCTTTAAATAATGTTATAGTTACAAGAATCTTGAATAATCCACTGTCTCTAAACAGCAATGCAATCTGGGCTAATCAAGGAGATTTAAACGGCTTTCAGGAAAAACTTCAGTGAGCACCATGTTGTGTTCAAAGCAGGGGTCTGATTCCAGCTTCAGCAGTTTGGCAGGAGGTCTCAGAAGTGCCTTGGAGCTTTGAGTTACCAGCCCTGGCAAGTCCATTGCCAATGCCAGAACAGAGCTCTTGCCCTCCTTGCTGGTGGGTCCTGCTGGCTGAGGGAGAACATCACCTGCAAGGAGAGAGGGTGGCTGCTGAGGTCCTGCATTCTGCTGGGTATGGGGACTCCAGCACCCAAATGCAAAGTCTGAACGTGTCTCTGGATTTCCAGTGAGTTCAAAGTAACCTGGGATGCAGTACTGAAAACTTGGCCTGGTAGAGAGCAAAGGCACTGCTGGCTGCAGACATAGCCTGCATTTTTGGAGAACACCACCCATGGAGAGAGAGGCTTCATAGTGCACTGGGAAGAACTGTATAAGAGACCTGATATGTTTTCCCTGAGTTTGTCTGGCTCCCTGCTTCAGGCTCTTGCCTCAGGGGTAATGCAATCTGTTTTATACAGCAGTAGCAGTTACCTAAATAAAAACCTTCTCAGGAATCACAGCAAATGTTCAAAAATTATAGCAAAAACTACCAGACTGTCTTGCAGAGAGGTGCTCCAACGTCTTGGTGTTAGACTTAGCTGCTTGTGAAAATGTTGCAAGAAAAAAAAAAAGAAAAAAAAATTGGCACTAATTTCTGAGTCTCAGTTGTAGTCAGGCTATGTGCCTGAAGCTGACACTTTCTTGTGCCTAGTGTTTTGAGGTGTCTTCATTAAAGGTATATTTGGCTGTTGCATGCATGAAATGAACTTTACTGGCTGTGTCTATGCAATATGCCCTGAGAAAAGACAAATCCAGAGAGAAAAATGTCTTTCCTAGTTTCTAGAAGCTAAAGAACAATAAACTGGCATAATCTTCTTGCTGATTTCAATGAAAAGGAAAGTTGAAAGCAGCCAGCAGAGCCTACCTGCTTCTCCTGTGACACCATCTAAAGTGTTTGAAGACTGCATCAATTTACTCTCTTTTACTAGGCAGGGACTTGGCAGAGGATGTACTGCTTTCCTTTTGTTACCTTGGTGCTGAAATGAATGTCACAAGCTGGCATCTATTCTACTTGGGATATAACATTGTAATAAGCAAGTGAATGATGCATCTCTAAAATTATGTACAAAGAACCTACTCTGGTTAAATGTCTTTATTTGGTATTATGCGTCAACTTTAATTGTTTTGCTCTTGTCTTTGTCTAAATTGACTAAAATTGCTTAAACTGGTATTATATAATAACTTTCAAAATAATCACATTTTGTTACAGCATTTAGTGCAAAGTACTTTTCTGCACAGTGCAGCCTCTGTTTTTGTAAAAGCTATGTTCCCAGCCACCTGGCAGCTCATTCTCAGTTCATGCGCATTTGGTTACAGCTGGCACAAAAAGCAGAGTTTTCCAAGGACACTCTACAGACTTGTCCAGTGGAAATTATAACCTCTATAAAATTTTTTGTGATCAAATTTTGTTTTCTCAGGCCTGTTTTTTCAGATCATGGTCTTGGGTAGAACTACTGGAGTCACTGATCTACTAGGGTGGCATTCCTAACTAGAATTACATTGAAGGTAAGCAAACAGCTTTTAAATAGCAGAGACTTTTCCTTCTGTTGATTCCATTGCACTGTCAGCATTAAGGACATTCAAATATTCTCACAGAGATAATCTGCCCACCTCCCAGCTTTTGTTTTTAAACTTTTAAATTTTTGATGTTGTTTTGGAATTTGCTGGTTTGCTGGGATTTTTTACCATTGCAGAATTTTTAATGACATTTAAGATTTATCTGAGGGGTATATCCAGAGACTTCAACCCTTGAGAGTGTGCCAGAAAATTAGGAAAAGTGTTAAACCAGTAGAGAATATCAACCTCAAAAATAGCATATATCATGTAGTTAAAAATAATGAGTATTGTTTTAAAAAAATAAAAAATACCTTATAGCCTCAGAATATGTCCTTGTCATATTTAGTAATATTTTTCTTCAGGCATTGCAGTAATTCTGTCAGGCTGCCAGAAGGGTGGAACTGTTGCCCAGGAAGGTAACATGATTTGTACAGACCAGTCCGGGAGAACAGTGGCATCAGGAGAAACAGACTAGAGGCCATCAGAGCTGCAGGTAAATGTCTGAGCAATTCAGTGACAGATTTTCCACAGTCCTTCTGATCCTCACAGGAGCACTCAAGGAGCTAAGATCCTGTGCAGTGCAAACACATTAGTGGAGTCCTCACCGATCACCTAAACATACTGACAAATACCTACCATGTTCTGCCACAAGTATCTTTTTACAATACTCTGACTTAAAAAAACTCTTTTGGATTAAAGCTTGGATTATTTGTACTATTTCATATGTTAAAAAATATAATTTGAGATGGGAATTGTGTGCATCTGCAGTCGGATAATACAGATATGCAATCCGTCAGTCAGAAAGTTCTCAAGTTGTACAAATTGGTTCAGCTGCTGGGTCCAAGGCATTGTTTTGTTCATGCTGGTATTTTGAGATTCTTAAGTGAACAGAAATTGAACTCACAGTAATGGTTTGCAGTCAAGTGGGGAGTGTAAGTTTTTTTTCCCTCACTTGCAAGACAGTATAAGTCATGAAAGAGGCTGCATTTACAAAGAGAGGTGCAAGAAAGTTGTTAGTGCTCTATAAATCAGGCAAGAGAATCAAACCAAATTAATCGAATTAGGAAACTCCCACTTTTGTTTCTCTGCTTATGCTACAGTATTATAGTAATCACAACAGAAGTAGTAATGACAACTTTATACAAGGGAAAATTAAAGTGAAAATCTGCACATATTTTTAAAAAGGGGTCTATTTGAAGTTGTAAAATCAGCCTGAAGTTTGAAGATCAACAAGTTTTAGCTTTCATATTTTTCAGATTCTGTACTGCATTGGTGTGTAACTCTGAACTTCATATAAAGTGTAAGTCCTCCTCACAGTTTAGTCAGACAAAACAATCCTTTTCCAGCCTAAGAACCATGGCCACTTCAGGCCCCCAAACAGTATTAACAAAAGCAAAACTAGGTGAATGTGATTTCATTACCTGAGGCTGTATTGGACAATTAACCCCAATATGCAAATGGACCAAACTTATGAAAGCATGAAAACTTGTGACCCATTGTTTATCTTGGGTACAGCCCTGGCCAGGCTCTTGTGCTGCCCAAGGTGCATCCTTTGAAGGCCTTTTTAATAAATACCTACTATATTCCTTTAACTCTGTCTAGCCTCTGTTATAGGCAATCTCTCTAGACATCACAAGTAAAAGTAACATTTCCTGCAAACACCTTGCAGGGCACTTCTGCAATGCTGGGAATACTCTAAAAATGACATTATGTTATAGTGGTTTGCTTTGTGCTTTGTGCTTCTGTATAATGAGCCTCAAATTAATAAATCCCCAAATTAGTAAAAAATAATAATTCAGAGCAAATAGAAATTATAATATCTTTTCAGTTGGGTGTTGGATTTTTTAAAACTTGAAATGATTAATTAATCTATTGCACTGCTAAAAGTTCTCTCAATGACTGCATATGAACACTTAATTTTTGTGATTTTTTTATACCCAGTACTTAGATATTATTTTAAAAACTATCTCCATCTCAGTTTTTCTACTTGGTTGCATAAATATAAATTAGAAGTAATGCAGCTGAAATTAACAAAGCTCCAATTCTGTAAAACCAGCCTAAAAGAAGAATTAACTTTTGGAACCTCTTTCTCTTTCATTTCATGATAGAGTAAAACCACTGTAAAACTATTGGATTAACTTGAAATCTATGTAATTTACATGAATATGAATAGAGAGTAGAAAATTTTTATTTTCAATAGCTGTGATAACTGTAGCCTTATAAAATATATGCTCTCCATAACTCCTGTCCATACAGAACTGGAGTACATAAATGTATGACTTGCAGTCAGATTCTTCAGTTTAAGGACTGACATGTACATGCTACATGCTTAAGTTCTTAGGCAGTTGTTTTAAAACTAGTCAACATGATCAGTGGATTCTAATGAATTATTCAACTTACCAGCCATCAGATATCTATTTCAAAATAAGAAAAACTGATTTTCTAGTCTGTGTTAGATCTGCACTGGGAAATTTAGGGGTGTGTGTGCCAATATAACAGGATGGTTTACTAACATCAAAGTGAAATGTTTCAGAGATGTGAGGCAGCACTGCCTCCTCCTGTTCCAGCCAGCACCAGCCTGGATGAAGAGGCCATTTGAAAAAGTAGATAGATCTTGGAGCTCATGTACATTCTTTTCCTCCTCTTACACACATTACTAATTTTTTATCACCTTGCCCTCACCTTGTTCAGCTGCCTTAAAAACAATGAAGTGGAAAATTCAGAGAGAAGGCACAGAAAGGGAGAAAGAGGCTTTCAAGAAACTTCTCAGAAATCAAGTAAATCAAATTGTCCCTTACATTCTTTAGTCTCTTATATGAATGAGAGAAACTGTCCCCATACCAGGAATGCTGAGAAATTATTCTTTTTCATGTAATAACAAATGTTGATGAAAGGGAATTGGAGCAACCCTGGATACATCACTACAAATCACTTTGGAATAAAGAGTCTTAACACTTAGGGATATTTTTTTTCATAATACTAATAATGTTTAGTGATATTAATAATATCAAAAATCTCTGCTTGAGATTCCAAAAAATATATGGAATTAAAATATTTTTATAGGTTATAAATTAAATTTGAATGCATAAGAAATGTAGAAATTATAGTATGAGGACTCAAAAAACCTGAATGTATTGATCCAAACTGCCTATCCACAAACCTTCAGATTGAAATGGTTAATTATTTGTCAATTTATTTTTAATATGATTAGTTATTCTTGGTTGGGCTTCCTCATCCATTATTTCCTGAGCCAGTACTGAATATTTTTATATTTTATATTTATATTACTGAATATTTAAGAAATATCTATATATGAAGTGACAGTGCTATCTCCTTTTTTATTTTTTTTCCACAATTCTAAGGAAAAGAGCTTTTATTTATGATTTACTTATGTAGGTATTTGTTCACTCTTTCAGGCTTTATATCTAATTCCACTTTCCATAACATTTTCTGTGAATGTTATCAATGAGTTTTCAGTGCTTTTCTTCCAAATTATTTGCTATTTATCTATTTCATAAGAAGTTTCTTAAGACTGTGATCTAAAGTCACACTACCAATAGAAAAAAAAATTACCTTTTTTACTTGTTTATAAAAATTCTGCATTACTAAATCTAAGTGTTTAGGTTTATTCTTGTCTGAATGGCTGTTAACTAACTTAATCTTTTAGATTCATCTGCTTTTCTTCAAGATATAATTTAGCAAGCAGAACAACATTCTGTTCTCCACTCAGACTGACGAGTTCACTAAGGAAACTGTACAACAGCCAGTGTAATTGCTTTCTCTAACATTTCAAAGGATGAGAGAACATGCTGGAAACTTTAGGTCATGTCTTATCCTGCTATCAGCAGCATGCAGACCCCATGCACAGAACAGCCTTATTGGCCATGGCTATTTGGCGAAGCCTAATCTCATTCTATGATTTTAGAGATCTACTTATTTGATGCCTCTCTTTTCCCTGATTGTGGTGATGGATGCCATACTGCACTAAAGAATGATGAATTTGTTTCAGGTCTCTCAAGAATCAATGGTTATGTCTTTTATCTAAAGCTGATTCCACCTGCCAGGGCTTTCTACATAAATGTTCTGTATCACCTTGCTGACACTAAGATTCAATTTATCAGGAAAGGCCTTTTGTAGTCTGAACATCTGTAAAGCCAATGGATATTTTCCATGGCTCTGACAATGTTTGTATTTCACATTTAGAGAATATCCTTCACAAGGATCATCTCATCAGGCACTTTTAAAAGAATTGCACATGATCACCACAGAAGCTCCATTCAGTCCACCTTGTTTGGGTTTAATCTTAACTGTGTCAACAATTCAGTTCTAACTGATCCAAGACTATATCATGGTTTGTGTCTCCTGATGTGAAAGGATATGAAAAATCTCATACATCTCTCTCTATGTCAGATTTAAGATACAAATTTCAGAGGAGGTGAAAATTTGTCCAAATATTGTACAGAAGTTTCCCCCTGTTTTCAACACTGGCACAATCCCAGAGTCTCTTTTTTTTGCCTTCAGATTAGCTTCATTTTATAAATAAAGTTGTTCTGTATATAAAAGAAACTGATTTGCTGCACCAATACAATGTGGGTTTAATCAGTTTTAAACTGATTTGCTGCACCAATACAATATGGTTTATTAGGCTACAAAATCACAGACAAAATAATGGCTATGTTGTTCAGATTGGAGATTAAAGTTCTCTTTCCTTTCTTATGATAAACCCAATGACATGGATATTTTGTGAATGTATTTGCCCTCAGCAATTTCCTATTTTAAACTCATAAATACAGTATACTGTATAAGAAAAACAAAACAAAAGAAAAAACCACCAACTTGTCCCTGTGCCATATAGTACATATATAATACACAGGGTTCTGTGGAGGTCACCTGAAGTGCATGACCCATTTTGAATTCCTTTAGTTTGCATGATTTTGTCAGGCTTAAGCTGATGATTCTGACAATATTTCTCAGCTTCCTGAGCTGAACATTTAAAACTGGCTTCCTACTGCTTTTCATACTGATGCTAGCTTTCAACTTGATGAAGTGAAGTCATAATTAAACAAAAAACATCCCATAGATAATTATAAAATATCACTCAGCCTATCATTTGAGCTGCCTGCAGGCATTTTAGATGCTTGTTTTTATTTGTGTTATGTGGCTTTTCTATAATACTAATGGCTTTATTTTTCCTGTACATCTTTCTCTAATTCCTCTCAGATGATGTCAGTTTATGATACTAGTTTAATTCTCTCAGATGTCTTTCCAGGACTCAGTGACCTCACTCTGCAGGACTGGACATTTGGAATGTGCAAGTGTGCAGTAAAATTCCTGCCTCTTGGTATCAGCTCTCCCAAGGTGCTTTCTGCAAGTCCAAATCTGTGAGAGAAGAAAGTGCAGTGATGCCAGAAAGCTAGTCTGTAGTGCCTGATGATTCTCAGAAGCTATTTTTCTTGTGGGGTCATTCAATTATGTCTGAAATCAGTTCAGTGAATCATTTTGGTTTGCAAGTATAAAAATAGAAAATATTTTGAAATTGAGGGTTGTACTCAAACTGTAATTTGAAGAATGGTTCTAACTGTGGATCTGGGGGCTGTTCCATTTTTACGTAAATGCTGAGACTGCAGACTTATGTCAAGACCTCCCCACTGAAAACTTCAAAGACATTCCTTCCAGGCAGAGAGTTTATTCTAGAAGAGTGGAAGTTCCTCCCTGAGGTTCAAAGGGTCATTGCTAGAAAACTCATTATCTGTAGGGACTAGTGACTTGGGTAAAAATCTGAAAAATACTATTAATATTGTCCATGCTCATAAGGTTACAGGATGTGGGCATTCATCAAGAAATTGAATAAGGGGTAGAAAATTTGTGGGGGGAGGAAGAGGGAGTGGGATGAGATGTGTGAATGTGTTTACAGTATAGAGAAAGAGATTTTTCAAGTATGGCAAATTTTTTTTATTCAAAGCATCTAAACTTGATCTCAAAGCCAAACCAAGACTAGTGTCAAATTTTTTTTAAAGAGCTATCAAGGAATGAGGGAAAACTTCTTGTTGTTGGGAACAAATCCAGAAGTGGTGGAAAGTCATCCATGTATATAGTCACTAAATTTTCTTTCTCCTGTACTTTCTCCTGTACAGAGACAGATATCAGGAGGTAAGATGCCTGGTGTGACAAGACTGGAAGAATGAAGTTGAGGTAAAAGCTTTCTATATATACAGACTGCTCAGTACCAGCAATACTACTTCATTTTCAGAAAATCATAATTTTCTTTTCAGTAGCACTGCCTGCTTCAATATCTACAGTCAATTGCTTGCTCCTTGCATTCAATGTGCTCCTCTACTCAGAAGCACTTATGTCAAAAGATTCATTAAAGTTATAGCGTGATTAACAGTATGTCTTGGGTACCACATAGAGCTCCAGAACACAGAACAGTGAGAGCATAACTTTCTTCTGCAAAAAAGAAAACTTTCTCAATGGTTGATGCCATCTGACAGCAAGGCACAAAATGACTCCCACTGACCCAGCAATCTGACATTTTTCTCGTGCACATTATATCCTTAAAACATATCAGAAAATGAATGAGCATATAAAAGCAAAAAACCAACCAACCAAACAAAAAAATTCTCAAAAGCATATCCCACCCTGTTTCTCACAGACAAGGATAAGAAAGCAAACATTTGGCAGGCATCAATCACAGTGCCTGTCCCTGAGGTCACTTAGGAGAATTGAAATCTGTGAGAGCCTCTGGAGTTCAGGATCTATGTATACTGAATGCCCAGGCCATATCTGTTCTCACAGAGCTACCTATCCATGCTAAATCTAGGGCACAGGTTATAATGACAGGCAGTCAGAATATTTAATTGGTTTGTATGTTCCCTAGAGGAGAGCAAATTGTATCTACATTAGTCAGTTAAGCATTTCCAGGTACTCTTATCAGTACTACAGTATTTCTGGAATGACTGCTGACACACTTTTGACCCGAGTCTTTCCAGGCAATCTTCCCAGAATTTTGTTTGCAAAATTTGAAAGTTAACATAGGCAAGGAAACGTTCCCAAAAATCAGACCATATATCCTGGAGAGTGAGCAGAGACAGTTTGGTTCCCTCTAGTCTTGGGAAGACAGAATAGGTGCTGGCAATGTGTTAGTTAACCAGCAGAATGAGGTGTGTTATCTAAGTATGCTGATCCCCTGACCCACTACTGAGTCAGAAGGAAAAATATTGGCCATTGCATTTCTCGCACCTCCCACGTGGAAATGTGTATTTTTTGCACACTTGCTCTCTTTATGATCACAATATGGTTGAAATGGTGTTGTTTTTCAAATGTTTTTCATTTTGTTTGAACATGTTACTATATTCAATAATTAACAAAAGATGAAGAAAGATTATTGGCATATTTACATCTATGTGTATAGTTCACAATCAGTAAAGATGCAACTAAAATTGTCTCTTCAATACCTTTGCTGTCAATGGAAAATGAAAGCTAAAAGGTCATATTTCAAACTAATGAATATTAGGGTTGTTTTTCTGGCTATTGTACCAGTAACAAGTAATTGGAGTACCAGTAACTACATGGGAATATAACATGTGGTTCACAGATTTATGTTACACACCTCATCATGACAGTATCACAATTTATTAAAAGAGAAATTAGATTGAAGATGTGAGTTCTGATTGAAATTAATTTTAAATATAATTATTATGATCCATGTGAGACCAAAAAGACTTCTCACCATACACATTTTGAGTTGAGATGGAATCGCTTTTCTTCCACTCATGGGTTTTTACATTCACCCCATATGAATGTAATTACACTCATGGGGATCCCTCAACCTCTATATTTTGTTCCCTCAACTGCAGCCACAATTTTGATATTACATTAATAATATTTGTTCTATTGTTCTATTTGTTCTATATTTAGAATGGCTTGTAATAGGCTCCAGAATGATTTTACAATCTAAAATGTACTCCTCCAAAGGATCCAACAGAAAAGTGGAACTATTTGCTACATGGAAAATAACTTCCATAGAGTCTAAAGCTTTTAAAGTTAATGCTATAATACTAAAATATTGGAGCATCTCACTTTATGACATGAAAAGCCTTTATCTATAGTATTCTAGCACTGCAATAATTTTTAGTTAAATGATAATGGCTGCTGGTTGTCATTGTTTCTTGACTGAATTTTTATAGAATGTTATCCAATTTTTATGACTTTTTAAACTAATATTTCTCATTTGTGTACTAAAGAGCAAAAAGAAGTATAAATTAAAATCAACAAGTTAAAATAACTGTGCTATAACTCCACCTGAAATACTTTGATTCTTAAAACTCAAAGAGTTTCCAAGAGACCTGAAAAATCACTTGGAAAATATAAGTGGAGTGTCCTGAGTATAAGACATAAATATTACCCACATATTTTTATTTTGAAGTTTGAAAGAGAAAATATTAAGGGTTGCATTGTATTGTCATAAACAAACTAAATCTTTTCATTTCCCCTTCATTTGTATTTCATACACTAAACTTCTCAGAATTCTTGAAATTTACTGTCAGTTGGATCTATACATAGAGGTGAAGTAAAATGTTATATGTGGCATCTCAAGATTATTCTTGCTATGTCCTCACAGATGACCATGCAGGTTTGTCATATGTATAGTGTCATGGCATTGGCAGCCAGACCCCCATCCACGTGCTCTTTTACTGCCCCTCCTCCACAGGATGTTGAGGGTAGAAAGAAAGGTGAAAAAGCTCAAGGTTAGAGATAAATACAGAGAAATCACTTGCCAGTTACTACCACAGGCAAAATAGACTCAATGTGGGGGCAATTATATTTATTGTCAAGTAAAAAAGATTTGTACAATGAGAAACAAAGATAAACTAAATCAACACCTTCATCCCATCATTTTCTTTTCCCCCATAAGGCTCAATCTCACTCCATTGCCAAGGTCTTTACCTCCCCTACCCCATGTGGTACAGGGGGATGGGGAATGAGGGTTATACTAAGGCCATAACAGCTCTGATCTACAGCCCCTTCACTCACACTTTTTCCCTGCCTCTGTGTGGGTGCTTCCATAGGCTGCTGGGAATCATCTCCTTCACCACGGTCCCTCCATGGGCTGCAGGGAGATCTCTGCTCCAGCACATGGACCATCCTCTCCAGTTCCTTCTTCTCCCATCTTAGTGTTCCCAAAGTTGCGTCTTCCATTTTTTTTTCCCCTTGCTTCTCTTTGTTATCTGGTGATTTTGCCATTTCTTAAATATTTTCCCCAGTGCCACTCCCACCGTGTGCGTGGGGCTCGGCCACACCTCGCAATAGGCAGTTGGATCCAGCTGGATCCAGCTGGAACCGGCTGTGTCCAGCTGGGGCAGCCTCAGCTTCCCTCATGGAGCCAATGCTGTTGCTGGGGCCTGGATGTCTGCAACCCATGAAAATGTCCTGTGCTTTTAAGTATTGAGGTTTAAATATTCATGAGGTTTTGTTTCTTAAAAATGTCGAGGTACAGTTGAATTTTCTTTTGCATTGTTATGAAAGAATTAAATATATGTATTTGTTTTCGCTTTTTGCACTTGTTAACTCTCGTCCGTCTTCTTTCTTAGAAGTTCATAAAGCCTCAGAAAAAAGAGACATTATTTTTTCCCTGATTCAGACTGAACATTCTGAGTGATCACAGGATCCAGAAATGAACGGATTATACTGCAAGATGGTGTAGTGTCTTAAAATCAGAAATGTGGTGCAGTCTATGATTCTGTGACATTTTAAAATAACTGTGTAAATACCAGCTGATCAGCCATGATCTTTCTAAAACTTTCCACCCTGAGAACTCCTAAATGAGTTTGAAATCCACAGGCAGAACCAACACAAAACAGCTGAAAATTTTATTAAAAGGGTATGATTATGAAGGCATTTATAGGGCATCCTCTAGTTAAATCTCAAAGAACTAAAGAAGTAATTCTATGCAGATACATGGCTCAAAATTGCAATCACATGATACATTTCTATCTTTGATCACTAATTAAAGGGTTTTGTTTCTTTTCATTCAGCACTAGTTTCCTTCTCAATTTCCTGCAGTCATTCAGGTTAATCAATGATTTAATCATGTTATCCTTCCATCAGTTTAGTCTCAAATCCTTTTGTGGGATTTTTGCAGTTTAATAGAGCTAATTTTCAAGTTAGAAAGATCTGAAGAGATGGAGATTAAGATCTATCAAGAACCCACATAACTATCTAGTATTGATTTGCAGTCTTGAATGTAAAATCTCTGACTTTCATTTGAGATTTTTCTGTCTGTTTTCAGGACGCCTTCCCATTCTGTCTGAGAACCTTGTTTAGGAATATCATTTTCCCTTGCTTTATTTCTCATTTCCCATGACAATCTTCAGCATAGTAAGAGCAGGATCAGATATCTAATAACATTCAGAAATTACACTGAATGCTCAAAATTTCCAAATGTATCTGCTCTGTTAAAGGGCCCTGATAATCTCCTGTCCAAATGTAACAAGATGTAGGACTTTCAATTCACACTTATTTCTGCCACCCTTCCTTTAAACACTCTTTCTCAACAATAGATTATACAAGGAATAAGTTCTTACACTGATGCAATTATATGAAATAGAATGAAATAATTCTGAAATAATTTGTTTGAGGCTCAACATTTTGACAGTAAGAGGCATTATTGGATAAATGACAGCACAATCGTTACTTACCTTAGGAACAGACCTTGCATTTCCTAGTGCTGCAGAAAGCCACATGGGGTTTGACAGTCATCTTGATATTTCACTATATTTTTTTAATCTTTCTTATGTCATAATAGTGGAACAGGATTAATAGTTACATCCAATAAGAACAATGTATTTGTATCATATATTTAAGCAGCAGAAATGATGTTTTCTTTAGTCTTTCACTGTTTTCTGATAATCCCTAATATTTATTTATTTATGTTTTTTTAAATAGAACTATTTTCAACATGATTAGAATCTCTTTTTGAATGGGAATAGTAAGAGTAGAGCTCATCACTCTATATGTATAGCAAAGCTTGTTTTACTCCTGTTATATTACTTTGCATTTATCACTATCCAGTCTTGCCTGTCAGATTATTGCCCAGTCACTCAATACTATAAGGTATTCCTGGAAATTCCACATATGGCTTTTAGTTTTATCACCCTGAATAATATATAAATAAATTTAGTCACTTCAATATTTGTTCCTTTTCTACCTCAATATAATCAAAACCAAATCCAGCCATAGATGCCACTGGGGTCTACCTGGGACTTCTACTGACAAAACCTGTCATTGACTCCTACATTTTGCTTTATCCTTCAACCAGGAATTAATTCAATTAGACTTTTGAAAAGACCATTAATAAAATAATCTTTTAAGATGTCAGGGTTTGCTGTTGCTCATTGAATTATTTATTTCTTCCAAGAACTCTTAACAAACCTGCAACAAGTGATTCTCCATTACAGTATTCAAGCTATTTTTCTCATCATATCATAGTTACCTAACACCTACTAATTCTACTCATTCTTATAATTTCAACCACTTTATTTGGTATGGAAGTTTTACTTTGTTGATTTTTTGCTCCCTAGACATTGCTTTACAATTTGACCACATTTATTACCCTCCAGTCCCCACATACTAATGCTGGTTTAAGTGTTAATGTGCTCTGAAGACCTTAGTGTTTTGATGGTTTCTTCAAGTTTTTGGGTGACTCTTTTTTTGCTATTCTTCTTTTTTTATTAAAAAAAAAACTTTTGTTCCTTTGCTGTTTTCCTGGCTATTTTCCTTTAGAAAATTATTCCAGTCTGGGAATCCTTCCTTATATCAAGGAATTAATTTAGATTTTCTAGTATGAGCCTGTATTTTCATTTAATTAATTTCAAATTACCATATATCTTGGTATGTAATATATTTCAGTTAAGTACAGATCACAGACTGCTTATGTGTTAAACTGAACATTCAAAAGATAAAATAAATTGCATAGATGTATTCAAACATTTAGCAGAGCTGGTAAAAAGTAATAAATACTTATGACAGGAAATTTCCTTCAAACCTAAAATCTGAAATGAGTACCATAGAATACATTATTAAATAAAATAAATACTAGATATGAGCCCGTATTTTCATTTAATTTAGTTTCAAATTACCATATATCTTGGTATGTAATATATTTCAGTTAAGTACAGATCACAGACTGCTTATGTGTTAAACTGAACATTCAAAAGATAAAATAAATTGCATAGATGTATTCAAACATTTAGCAGAGCTGGTAAAAAGTAATAAATACTTATGACAGGAAATTTCCTTCAAACCTAAAATCTGAAATGAGTACCATAGAATACATTATTAAATAAAATAAATACTAGCCAAGTCTAACTTATATATGAATTTTAGTTTTGGAAAAAAAAGAAAAAAAAACCCAAACAAAAACTAAGCTTTTCAGGATGGTTCTTAAAGGATGGCGATTTCCTCTTTAAGCAAGCAATTACAAGCAATTCACCAACTTCAAGCAATTACATTGATTTTGAGATACCACTTAACAAAATATTTCCCACAGGTATTTTACAGAACTGTAGGTTTTTCAGGCTGTAGTGTCTGCATTTGAGTTTTCCTCTGACTCCCTTAGGCCAAAAGCTCATGAATCATTATTGTACCTGCACGCTGAGAAAGGCAAGGGGAGCTCATTCAGTTTATGTGGGCTGATTTATCCTCTCCTTCCTTATTCCCTTTCCATAAATAGGCCCCAAAGTATTGTTTACTCTAATTTCTTCTCAAATTCTCCCCTATAATCCTGCAGATTTGTTCTTGGTAGAGAAGGAAATTGAAAGGGACAAGAGGTTGACTCGTTGAGGTTTTTTTACCAAAAAAAAAAAAAAAAATAGAGGGGGGTTGTGCATGAAAGACTGAGTAGGAGAGGAGAAAAGCAAAGCATAATACCAGGAAATTTGAACCATGTGAATAGTGACAAAGATAGCTAGTGTGTACAGGTGGTTTCTGTGCAAAACTGGAGTACTCCAGACACCACAAGAGTGCCAGGAAAAAAAATAAAAAGGGAGGCGGGGGAGGAGAAGGAAAGAGGGGTCACTTAAAAGTAATTAAGAAAAACCTCATTCTGGTTTCCGTGAAAAAACCTAATCCTTTACAGCATCCATTGTGGTGTCTTCTCCATTTCACTTTGTTTCATTTACTTTTAAAACTGTATTTTGTTTTTTGTTCCTTAATTCAAACACACGAAGAGAGTGATTGCTAAATACATTGTGAAAGTTTTAATTGACAATTAGAAGACAAATATGGACAGTTAGAATTAACATCTATTGGTTGTCAGTGTCTTTCTGTTAGTTTCTGTTGTGTATAACTTGATTTCCTGTTTTTACCCTCCTTAATATACATAAAAATTCCTCTTTTTGTCTTAAATATTTCTATATAAATATTCCATGCTTCATACAAATTATTATTCAAAGCCATAGTTTGTTTCTTCCCATGCAGTTAATGGACAAAGATTTAATCATTAACAGGTGCATACAGCTGTGCAATATTATTTCTCTTTCAATTCAGAGCAAGAAGACAAAATTCAGTGACTTTTACAGATGCTAGTTTTGAAAGCATGACACTTGGAGTGACACTGTGGTCTTTTAAACTGGTCTCACAAATGCTTTGCTCTGCATCATGGTGTCAGAACAAATTACCTTAGGTTTTCATACAAATTACACAGTTCAGTAAGCTGAGAGTACATCAATAGTCCAATTCTTGCATATCAATTAAAACCTATTAGCTGGATGCAAATATGTTTGAATTTTTTTACTTTAAAGATGCATTAATGTAATAGATTTGTGCAGAATTGGTCACATATATAATATTAGAAAGCCTCACACTGTTTTTCTTTCTTTCTAGGTTTTGCTTTGATGATGCTGAAGAACACTTGAAAACAATTGATGTATGCAAATTTCTGCATCTTTTTCTGCATCTAATTAATTAAGCACATCTATTTCCCTTGGGAGCCAACTGTCAATGCTGATAAATAAATAATACACCCGATTTTTCATGCTGTCCAGTATCTCTCATTTCTATGTATTTTTATAATTATATATATAAACATGATTTTTCAAGCGCCAATTCCAGTTGCTAGGTTTTAAAAGTCCTATGAAGACAGGTACAAACTAATGTTTTTGTAGGAAAGACATGTTCTTTTCTGTTTTCAAAAAAATATAACCTGTGCATACAGTGATTCTCTTTTATGCTTCTGAAAGATTTTATTCCATATGCATATTTTTGTTCCATAGGAATTATTTTTAGAAAATAAAAGTGCCTTGAATGTTTTGTGTGCACTCTAGACATGTATTGTTTTTGCACAATCTGGTTTTTGGTAGCAGGTTGGAAGCTGCTGGAAGCTTCTACCATGTTCAGTAGAGCCAATCCTTGATGGCCCTGAAGATGGACATGTTGCCAGCCAAAAGTGGGTCAATGAGAGAGGCTGGTAATGTCTCTGTGATGATATATTGAAGATGAAAATCAAAACAAAGTTGCATGGTATTTCTTCTAGTCAGAGAAGAGGAGGAGGTGAGAACATGCCAGTGAAAACAACATGGAGACACCAAGGTCAGTGCACAAGGAGGGGCAAGAGGTGCTCCAGGTGCTGAGATTCCTCTGCAGGATGTGGTGATAACCATGGTGAAGCAGCTGTGCCCTTGCAGCCCATGGGGATCCACAGGGAATGCAGAGATTCACCCTCAGGCTGTGGGGGAGGTACCCATGCCAGAAGAAGATGGATGCCTGGAGAAAGCTGTGATCCTGTGGGAGACCTGGTGGAGAGAGAGAATTCCTGCTTCCAGGCTGGAGCAGCCTGTCCTTAGAGGACTGCACCCCACGTAAGAGTGACCCATGCCACAGCAGTTTGGGTGGACTGTCTGCTCGTGGGAGGGAGTTCATGCTGCAGCAGGTGCCGTTTGGCTGCTGCTTGTGAGTGGACCATGCCAGAGAAGTTCAGAGGGAAATGTCTCACATGGAGGGACCCCGTGGTCTTACGGGGGAAGGATTCCTCTCCCTGAGCAGCAGAAGAAAATCTCATGATGAACTGACCAAAACCCCCATGCCCTGTCTCCTGGTGATGGCAGTGGCAAGGAGGGAGGGGCTGGGGAGGGAGTGGTGTTTTAAGGGCTTTTTTTACTTCCCATTATCCTCCTCTGATTCTATTAGTAATAAATTCACTTTGCAACCTTATGTTGAGCCTATTTTGCTCTTGAAATGTTTTCTCCTGGTCCTTATCTCAACTCATGAACCCTTCATCATTTTTTTTTTCCCTCCTCTACCCAGCTGTGGCAGGGGAGGGTGAATGAGCGACTCTTGTGGATGCCTGGTCAACACCAGGGCAGTGTCAAACCATGACAAGACCATACCAGAATTTTGTCACACTTATTAGCTAAACATGGGACCTCACAAATTCAGAGAAATCCACTAATAAAGAAGATATTTTCTGCTTTAAAAGGAAATATGTACCATATACTTTTACAGTAATCTTTTCTGGTTTTAGTGCCTCTTGAATTTCTTTCTCATAAATGACCTCACGAAACCTATTTGAGAATATTAATGATGAAAGCTGTTTGAAACAGTGACACTCGTCATGTTCTCATCATCCTCCCGTAAAAATGCTGTTGGCACAGAAGTCTAAATAATTTCCTGTGCTAAATTTTCTGGAATATCCATTTTTCCAAAGGGTAAAGTCATATTCTAACCTTCTATTTTTAATGTTAAGAATAAAGGTCATGTTGAAGTCAGTATCCATAATAACATTTTAAACTTTACTTTAGAAACTGTAAATGAAATGGTTAGAAAGATTTGGTTTTGGTTTAAGATGGGGGTAAAAGAGAACAAGTACTTGGAATTTTCTGTTTAAACTATCCTAAGCACAATGTGTGATAGACACCAATGCCAAAAATGGCCTTTCTATTTCTGTGGATGCAGATAGAATGTACCTAAGAAAAACTATACACAGGTCTTCTGGAACTTCTAAGGCTCAGAAGGTTGTAATTTCAGGCTGTGCGTAAGGTGACTTCCCAGTGGGAAAATCTATTGCCTTGTAAAAATGTTTAATAGATGAGCTGCCCACGCTTGCTCCTTTGCAAAGGTGTTGATTTTAAAATCCCTCACTTTGGTACTAATCAGTTCTAGCTCTGCTGAGTTTAGTAGAAATAGTCTCCATCTCAAGGCTAACAGTGAGCTGAGAGGCAGAAACATACCTTGCTCTGTTAACTGCATTTCCTGCAGAATGAAGGGGTCTCAGCTAGGGGTAGTACATGGGCAGATTCTCTATTTTCGCTGTTGAAGTAGGTCTACAGCACTGGGAGAGCTCAGGACCATCCCAAGCAGGCTGCCTTCAGAAAGTGGGTTCCAAGGATGTGGAAGAGAGAATAATGAGAGTATTTGGAGGATGGCTGGGGTTGATCAGATCTTCCTGTCTGATATTGGGTATTTATATGAGATGTTAAAGAAAATAATGCCTTAATAATCAGTGTACCAAAGTTCTTACCCAGTACTCATATGGTGGGTGGGATTAGGAGTATTTCCTGTCATATTTCCTAATGGTCTCTTTTTCTCTTTAACAGAAAACACCTTTATGTAAATAACCATTCTGTGTGAGAGAAGTACATGAAGATCAAATTGCAATTTATAGAACAGAAACATATAACCATTAATATTGGAAAAGACTTTCAAGATCCTTAAGTCAAATGTTTGACTGAATGCCTCCATGTCAATCAAACTGCCACACTAAGTGCTACATCCAGTAATTTCTTGAACAATTCCAGGGGTGGTGACTCCACAGGTTGATGATTTACTGTTGTCTGGATTGGTTCTTTTTTCCTTTCTGGGATTCTGTTTCCAGTAAACTGTTCTTAGGCCTGTCTGCCTCCTTAAATCTCTTTTCTGTCTGTCTGAGATGACTGTAAATCAGACGAGACCTTGCCAGGGTAATGTGTATCACAACTCACACAATGAGGCAATTCCTGTTACTCAGCAAGGCTGTCCGAGAAGCGGGCTAGTCATGGCTTACAACTTCTCAGCCTTCCCAGAGGCAGTGTCAGACAACTGGCCTTGCAGGGCACAGAGCCAACTTTTCTCTCAGCAGGGCTGTGCTCATGACTAGGAGCAAGATGCGGAGATGAATCACCAGTGTGTCCTGGCAGCCAAGAAGGCAAACTGCACCCTGGGATGCATCAAACACAGCATCACCAACCTGTCAAAAGAGATGATTGTCCCTCTGTATTCAGCACTGGTGTGCTGTGTGCAGGTCTGGACTTGATGTAATGCCCTGGTCCACTTGGTAGGTTTAGGGGAAGGTTTTGGGGAGGCTGCTCTCCCTGGTATCCAGTGACAGGACAAGTGGGATTGGTTCAGAATTGCCGCAGTGGATATTCCATTATTCCAGATTTGCCATTATGAAGAATTTCTTTATTGCAATGGTGGGAAACACTGGAACAGGCTTCATAAATAGGTGATTGGTGACCTGAACCTGTCAGTGTTTAAGATGCATTTGTACAATGCCTTTTTAAAACATGGTTTAACTAACGGTCAGCCATGAAGTAGTCAAGCAGTTGGACTAGGTGATCATTGTGGGTACCTTCCAACTGAAATATTCTATTCTATTCTATTCTATTCTATTCTATTCTATTCTATTCTATTCTATTCTATTCTATTCTATTCTATTCTATTCTACTAAATTCCAGGCAAAAGCCACAAGCAGGCTTTAGTGAGTACAGCCTCGACTGAAGACTCCTGAAAAAATGCAACACTGTACCTCAACCCTGAGTGGTTTGTTACACATGTCAAGCTGCAAGTAAATTAGATATACATTTCTGGTCTGTTTTCTGTATTATGGAAACTTTTTTTACCCAGCCGAGATTGCTGAAAAGAATTGTGTGAACAGCAGGAGTGAGTAATAGGAGTCTATCTTATTTTCTGGGCAATACCTACTTACTTTGGCCACAAATATCTTCCTGACCTTTTAATACAAACTCATCCAACTCTCAAAAATTAATGAAAATATTCCCTAAGTTGTCTGTCTCTTCATTGTCTCTTTATGGTGAAAGTCAACAGATATTACACTGGTGGCTGAAGGATGCATGCTTTTCTCTAGGTTTTTAAAAAGATTTCACAGCTGTACCTAACAATGTGGAAAACTGGGTGTATGCTGAATCCTGCTGCTTCTTTTGGCATTGAGCAACACCTATATTCATATTTCCTTTATTGTCATCCTGTACACGTGCTAGGGCACTTCTGAGGCCTTGCACATCAATTAGCACATCTTTTTTTCAGACACTGGAAAGTCAACAACACAAAAAAACCCTCTTTACAATGCTAGATTTCCAAACATCAGAAATTTAAGTAGGAGGAGACACTCTGGAGGACATGAAATCCAGCCTCCTGCTCAAAGTGGGGATAGCTTCACAGTTAGGCTGGATTGCCCAAGTAGTTTTCCAAGTATTGAAAATCTCCAAGGACAGAGATTCTGAAACTTCTCTTGGCATGCAGTGCTCAACCACTCTCATATGATTTTTTTCCTTATATGTAATTGGAATTTCCACTGTTGTGACTTGTAACTCTTACCCCTTGTTTTTACTTCTAATGACTTCCAAGCCCTCTACAGATGCCACTTGAGCACCTTGGGGTGGAATAGGCTCTGCTATTTGGATAAAGTCATGAGTTAAATTACTTGTTCAAGACCAATCATCAACTAAAAGTCAGAGCCCAAGGTCAAGCTGTGTAATTATACATAGACAAATTGGCATTTCTCATTCTCTTTTAAAAGAAAGAAATTAAAACAATGAAAAACCCACAACATGAGTGACTTTTTTTTTTCCTCGAGACATCTATGATTACTTATAAGAGTTACACAAAGTGTAGTCGTCAAAGCAAAAAAAAAATGACATTTCAGCTTTTCATTTTTTTCCCTCTGGAATAGTTTCCAAACTATTTCCATAAGCTGAGAATGTCTTTGGTATTTGTAAGTATTTGCTAAGTCTTTTAGACTTTTCAG